GCCCACCTGCGGCGAAACGCTCCTTCCTCCGACCAGGACCCTCGGTAGACCTTCGCGGGCTTTCGAGCTGGACTGTGAGCTGGCAGCCCGAAGCAGTGTCGCTTCTTCAAATCCGCAGGACCGTACCTGTGTTTTGCAGCACGGCTAGCGGGGCGGGGTGACAGCTGCCCTGGGCTGTGCTGCCCGGTCCCGCTCTTGCAACGTAGCAAGCCTCGAGCAGACAGATAGCTGCGACCCTGGGTTTGGTTAGTCCTTAGAAAGCCCCCTCCCAGAGCCCGCTTTGTTTGCTTTGATCAGCATGGTTGATGATGGCCCCGAGGAACAGAGAAATGGTCTCTGCAGCAGTGTCTGAGTTGAGGGACACTTTGAATTGTTTGGGGTAAGGAGGAGGTGGCAGTGCTGGCTTTCCCACAGCAGACGCGTGTTCTGATCTCTTCCTGCTTTTCTAGCATCTGTTGGCCTGACCGAGGAGCAGAAGGAATTCCAAAAAGTTGCCTTTGATTTTGCTGCCAAGGAGATGGCTCCGTACATGGCTGAGTGGGATGAAAAGGTATGGCAGCCCCAGAAGGGTTACACTGCTCACCTTGTCCTCCTTTAGCATGTTGTGATCCTTGGGCCTCACCAGAGGGGTTCCTGCAATTGCTCCTCAGCGCTGTAATGCCATCTGGAGATACTTTATTTGAAGCTGATGCTGTAGTTGGGGTGGGAAGCCATCAGAAAGCCCTTCAAGCTTTTCTAGCCAGGCTATTCAGTCATCTGAAAAGCTGAATTTACTCATGAAGATGGTATGTATCCTAGGTAGCTGCCTCTTCTTTAACCCACCCAATTAACTTGAAGACTGCAGGAGCTTGGAACTGGACTCGGTAGCCCAGGTGTACCAGAAAGAAGAGACTGGATAACCAAATTGACCTGATTGTCAGTTGGGCTGTCTCTGCCTGTCCCTGCAGGAGATATTCCCTGTGGATACGATGCGGAAGGCAGCCCAGCTGGGATTTGGTGGGATCTATGTGAAGCCAGACGTGGGTGGCTCGGGGCTGTCACGGCTCGATACCTCCGTGATCTTCGAAGCTTTATCAACAGGCTGCACCAGCACCACTGCTTACATGAGCATCCACAAGTGAGTGTGCCTGCGCAGCCGTGGAGGTCGGCCTGGCTGAGAAACACGGCTCTCTGTGGGCTCTGAATCCAGCTGCAGACAGTTCTCTTGGTGCTGCTTATTATTTACAGTTGGGAATCCAAACAGACACGTCTCTCTGGGGATCTGGTGGCAGTAAACAAACAGGCTACAAAACCTGAGTTGCCAGCAAGAAGTAATTTTAGCTTTGTGGCATGCGAGATGGGATTAAGTTCTGGATTCTGTTCCCTCCTCTGCCACTTAAGCTGTCTATAGATAGAAACCTGCCTGGAAAAAGCCTTTGTGCTTGGGTCCTACTGTGACAGAGCCCAGAGGCACCAGCTGATAGGGGGCCCTGATCCTGCGTGTACAGACATGTTCAGTGGCAGACTCGTGCTGCACGGGAAGATGGAGTGAGGATGCCTCCTTCTTCCAGGTGCAGTTTGGTGCTGAGGGGAATGCTGAGGCTGTTAAATAGGAACCTGCTGCTCCACAAGGCAGCGAGTCTGAGTTGAATGGAAGGTGATCGTCTTCCTCCTGGCTTCTGTGACACCTAATTTTGTTCTGTTTGGAGGTGGAGCAATATCGTTTCAAGGCTCAGTGCTTTTGGCTGAACCCCACGGAGCTTTGTTCCTCTGTTCAGCCAGGGCTGTTCTTGTATGACCTGCCTTCCTCCCAAGGCTATGTTTGCTTCCTGTAATGCTGCTCCTTCTCTCCTGCTCCAGCATGTGTGTTTGGATGATCGACACCTTTGGCAATGAGGAACAGAGGCACAGGTTCTGCCCATCGCTCTGTAGCATGGAAAAATTTGCTTCTTACTGCCTGACTGAGCCAGGTGAGCATCCTCAACCAGGAAATCCTCTCCCTTCCCTCACTCCTGACATGGGTTAACTGGACACGAACGTTGCATGGAGCAGCAGGTGAAAAGTTTCTTTTCATTTTCATGTGGGCAGTCACTGGGAAGCTGGGAAGGGGCAGATGGTGATTGCTGAGATGCTCATGGCACAATCCTGAGTGTTGTTGGGTACGATCCCCAGGAGAGTTTGTAGGCTCTGGACCTGTTGCTTCACTGGCTGCTTCCTTACCTCTTGCACAGGGAGTGGAAGTGATGCAGCTTCCCTGCTGACCTCAGCTCAGAGAAAAGGGGACACCTACGTCCTGAATGGCTCCAAGGTACCTCTTTGCTCCTCCTAAAGCTGCTGGATGGCACTGCATGCAGAAGGGGGCCTGGGGTCCTCTCCATATCCTGTGTCCTCATCTCTCTACATTCCCCCAAGGTAGAATGTGCTCTGCAGAGCATTCACCGGTGCTTAGTACAGTTGGGTCCCTACATGCCTCCTGGGCGTGGTGTCTTTGCCCCTCCATCTTTGTACCCCAGCTGCTGCTGCTGCAGGCTCAGGGCTAGCATACCAAAGCCACCTCTTTCTTCTTGTGCCCTTCTGCAGGCCTTCATCAGTGGGGGAGGTGACACAGACATATACGTTGTCATGTGTCGCACAGGAGGCCCAGGCCCCAAGGGCATCTCCTGCCTGGTGCTGGAGAAGGGGACTCCGGGGCTCAGCTTTGGCAAGAAAGAGAAGAAGGTAAGAGGCTTGGGCTTTACTTTGTGTGTGCTTGAGGGAGGTGCAGCACAGAGAAGGGTTACTCTGTGCATAGCATTAGGGATCTCTTCTTGGATGGGACTGGAGTCCCAGCCTGGAATGCTTTTTCCAAGCCAAGTTCAGCTTTGGTGAAGTTTGCCCAGCAGCCATCCCTTCGGTAAGTGAAGGACTTTCATCTCGGGCACATTCGTTGGACCTGTGCCTCTCCTCAAACACTTTCCACTTTGCAGCTCAGCACACTGAGGCCAAACCACACAGACCACAGACACTCTGGCAGCCTGGCAATGAGACCGAGGGGTTGAGAGCAGGCTGGGCAGTTCCCTGCTGGGAGCCGGAGCTCTGCGGCTCCTCAGGCAGGCTGGAAGGTGCTCTGTTTATTCCAGGTGGGCTGGAATTCCCAGCCAACTCGAGCCGTGATCTTCGAGGACTGCGCTGTTCCTGTTGGCAACCGTTTGGGAGCCGAAGGGCAGGGCTTCAACATTGCCATGAAGGGACTGAATGGGGGCAGGATAAACATTGGTAAGAAAGACAGCTGAGAGCCAGGGGAGGAGGGCAGGGTCGTCTTGTCACCCGTCTGCATTAGCTTCACATTTACGCTGTGTCCTTGACTCTCCCACCAGCTTCTTGTTCGTTAGGAGCTGCTCACGCCTGTCTCCTTCTGGCCCAGGAGCACCTCACTGTCCGCAAACAGTTTGGGGAACCCCTGGCGAGCAACCAGGTAACC